TACTTTAATTGTGTTCTCCTCACATGTTGAAACCTGGTGTAGACACTAAAAATCATCGCCCCAGGTCGATTCTTCACAGTTATTGCCGATTTACCCTTGGACGATTAGGCCCGGCGGCCATCTTGGGATTTACGGGCAAATAGGTGCATGTTTCAACTCGCTTGTGGTTGGGAATGGACTTCTATGCTATGAACAATAAAAATGACACTTTATCATGCTTTGCACGACTTTTGTCACAAGATATGTCATTTTTTAAGCATATTCCCGGAATCGAGATGGCGGCCATCTTGGATTTGCTATTGTGCGGCCCCAGTTGGAAAAATGAGCTTGGCATAATATTCTAAATTAATATTTATATTAAGCAATGTCTGTCCAATTTTTGGGTGCTTTTCCAAAATGCACAATTATTTCACGTATCTCGCCGCACTAAGTGCTGAAAACGAATTTGGGACTCGCCAGGTTTTACCCACTGGCAGCAAGAACCAGTTTGCTGATTATGATTATATGTCAGAATGATCTATCTTCATAGTCAGCATATGATTATAGTCAATGGCCGCGTATGTGCTGTACGTGCGGGCTTGTTCTAGCTGCCAGTGGTCTTACCTGACCGACGTGTTACCGACGTGTTACGTACCGACGTGTTATCTGACCGACGTGTTACCTGGCCGACGTGTTACCTGGCCGACGTGTTACCTGGCCGACGTGTTACCTGGCCGACGTGTTACCTGACGACGTGTTACCTGGGCCGACGTGTATATACTGGTTAGTGTTACCTGGCCGACGTGTTACCTGGCCTGACGTGTTACCTGGCTGACGTGTTACTGGCGACCGTGTTACCTGGCCGACGTGTTACCTGGCCGACGTGTTATACTGGCTTAACGTGTCCTTGGCCGACATGTTACCTGGCTAACGAAATTGGTTACTTGGTTAACGTGTTACCTGTCTAACGTGTTACCTGGCCGACGTGTTACCTGGCCGACGTGTTACCTGACCGACGTGTTACCTGCGACTGGTTGTTACTGGGCTACGTGTTACTTGACCGACGTCGTTACTTGCGCTAAGTCTGTTACCTGGCGACGTGTACTCTGACTAAGTTCGGGTGTGTTACCTGGCTAACGTGTTACCTGGCGACGTGTTACCTGGCCGACGTGTTACCTGGTAACGTGACCTGGCTGCGTGTTACCTCACCGACGTGCTTACCTGACGACGTGGTTTCCTGGCTGACGTGTTACCTCCCGCATGTGTTACCTGGCTAAGTCGTTACCTGGCCGACGGTGTTACCTGACCGACGTGCTTACTTCGGCTAACGATCGCTTACCTGGCTAACGTGTTGCCTGGCTAACGTGTTACCTGACCGACGTGTTACTTGGCCGACGTGTAACCTGGCCGACGTGTTACCTGACCGACGTGTTACCTGGCTAACGTGTTACCTGGCCGACGTGTTACCTGGCCGACGTGTTACCTGGCTAACGTGTTACCTGACCGACGTGTTACCTGGCCGACGTGTTACCTGGCCGACGTGTTACCTGGCCAACGTGTGTTACTGGCTAAGTCGTTACGCTGGCTAAGTGTTACCTGGCCGATACGTCAGTTACCGGCTAACGTGTTACCTGGCTAGTGTTACCTGCGACCGATGTTACCGGCTACTTACTACCGTCGTTTACCTGCGACGTGTTACCTGGCCGACGTGTTACCTGGCCACGTGTTACCTGGGCCAACGTGTTACCTGGCTAACGTGTTACCTGGCCAACGTGTTACGCTGGCCGACGTGCGTTACCTGCGCCGACGTGTTTACCTTGGCCGACGTGTTACCTGGCCGCGTGTTACCTGGCCGACTGACTGGCAGTGTTACCTGAACCCGACGTGTTACTTGGCTAACGTGTTACCTGGCCGACGTGTTACCTGACTGACGTGTTACCTGGCTAACGTGTTACTTGGCCAACGTGTTTCCTGGCCGACGTGTTACCTGGCCGACGTTGTTACCTCGCGCTACGTTTCCTTGACCGACGTGTCTTACTGGTTAAACGTGTCTACCTGATCTAACGTGGTTACCTGGCCGCGTGTTACCTGAGGCCGACGTGTACCTGACCGACGTGCTTACGGACTGCCGACGTGTTACCTGGCGGCTACGTTGTTACCTGGCTAACGTGTTACTTGTGCCGACGTCGGTTTCTGAGCGACGTCGTTACCTGAGCTCTATGTGTTACCTGACCGACGTGTTACTGTCGACGTGTTACTTGGCTGACGTGTTACCTGGCCGACGTGTTACCTGGTTGACTTGTTATCTGGCCGACGTGTTACCTGGCCGACGTGTTACCTGGCTAACGTGTTACCTGGCTAACGTGTTACCTGATTTATTGCCAGGAACAAGATGTTGTGTAAAGCGAGTGCTGCTGCCTTTGTGATCGTGTCTGCTCTGCTTCTCATCTTGCTCTACCGCATGATTCATAACGTGCCATCGCCGAAAGGTAGTCCCGCCAGGCCGACGTTTCACCTGCAGCTAGTAGTGCTCACTGCCGACCGTCCGGACAGCCTGGAGCGCCTCCTGGCGTCTATACGCGCCGCTCACTATGACGGCGACGACGTCACGCTGCGCATATGCGCCGACTTTCCGCGCAATGCATCCCGGCGGCCGGAACACGAAGCTTGCGTGCGCGCGGCGAAGGGGTTCACGTTCGCGCACGGAGCGCCGACGGTCGTCGTGCATGCGCGCAACGTCGGCATGTACGCGCAGTGGTACGACTGCTGGCAGCAGACCGACCGACCGGGGCACTACGCCGTCATCATAGAAGACGACCTCGAACTGTCACCGTTCTTCTACCGCTGGCTGAAGGCGGCTGTGCAGTTCTATGCTGACGACGCATCTGTGTTTAGCGTGGCGCTGCAGCGCGGTGGGCTGGTGGCACGTGACGGCACGGCGAAAGACATATGTAGCACGTGTGCAGACCCTGTGTTCGCTTACCGACTGTTCGCATCGTTGGGCGCAGCTCCCCTTCCGCGTCATTGGCGCCCCTTCCGGGAATGGGTGCACACTGTGTCACAGCCGGACGGCTCCGGCGACTTTGTACCGTATGTTCCCAACGAGACGCTCATCACCAATAAATGGGTGGGTGTTGCCCACGTGCAGCGCCGCACGATGCCGACGTCGTACCTTATCTATTACATGTGGCAGCATGGGCTGTACACCGTCTATCCGCGGCTACCAGGGCACAGTGCGTTCGTCTGCGACCACCGGGAGATCGGAATGAACTTTCAGAAGAAGGTGAACACCACGGGAATTTGCGATTCATCGCTGGTGAGTCACTGGGACCCCGAGTACATCAAGTTCCCTCGGCGGCCTGTCCGTATTGGATGGGACGGCATACCGGAGCTCCGACAGGACTAATATATCGAGTCCATGCCTGCAGGACCGATGTACCCTCTAATACGAACGCAATAGTGCTTGGTAATGCGGAACACTGTGGCAGGCATGTAACTCTGCTGGCCGCATTTTTAGCTGTAACACTGGACATTGTTTGGGTTAAGTTGAGGGGATCAGGGAGGCATGGTAAGCTGTGTGATGTTGAAACACAGCCAACACCTTATTCCACCCAGAGCGTGGCAACGTCGACGCATACTCACTACTACCGACATAACCGACATCAAGTAAGATTGTATCATCGTAGGGTGGGTTGAATATTATATTTATACAGTGTATTGTAATAAAGTACTAATACATTGTAATATATTTTAATACATTACATAGTATATTGCGCAGCGATCCCAAGGGAAATATGTCACGTGTTCTTTATAGACAGGTGTACGTTCCACAGAGGTAGTTTCCTGACATAAATGTCTCCCAAGGGATATGCCAAAAATAGGCTTTATTGAGAGGTGTACGGTTTATAAAGGTGAACTGCTAACTCAGGGTTGACTGTATGTTGATGATTATAACAATCAAATCAAACAGTAATCAACGTAGGTATTCAATATTATTGACAGCTTGTGCGATAGTAACAAAAGTGACTGGCTTTGTGCGTAACTTCTTAGGGCCACAGGTGTAGCATAATTTTAGCCATTTTATTGTAAAGATTGGTTATTTTCCAGCTTGTTAATACATTGTAACAATATTGCATGCGTAACCGTTAGTGTTGGCTCAATTTTTATTCACTGCGATTTTGGTGGATAATAAATATCATAATAACGTAAGATTGTTTGTAGTTGTCATTAAAATCACTCACAGTACGAGCTCAGGTGCCAGTTTACTCAGTTTATTACGATCGCGATAATACAATTGTACAATAATTCACAAGTGCACGCGACACAAACAACGATTCGATATAAAAAGTTACAATTAGCCTACATGATGACTCAAATGCACAATTTCGCGAATATCGCAAACCACTTGTTTAGCTCGATTACCCAGTTGGTACATGCCTCAGCCATGCCGAGAATGCTACGGCATGAACTGCAGGCAACTTTGCGTGGCTGACAGCCTGAACAGTACTGCCCTACTGCAGTACTGCCCTACGTCTTCGTGCGCGACCAACGTGTATTTACATAGATGTCTCGCTCGACGACACTCAGTGCGTCGTCTGCACATACGCGCCGGCAGCCATGAGAAGGTTGCGTCGAGTGAAGTGGAGGCAGATGACGGGTGTGCTCTTGGTGTGGTAAGAGGCGAGAGGCTTGTCGACCAGCTCCACCTTGGCATGGATCGTCGAGAGCGCCAGATCGTCAGTGTCCATGTTCTCTGAGATCTTCTGCATGTTCCACAGCTTCACACAGTTATCTATTCCGCCTACAAACACAAACGATGTCTGCACGTGATATACACAGCTTATATATATAATCAACACACAGTAGCATGATATTATCAGATATTATACATATATCAGGAGTATATATTACCTTCCTATTATCTAATCCTGACTATATGTCAAATATGTGAATCTGACTGTGCAACTATGATAATGTACCCATTTTCTTAGTTTTTCTGATGGTTTCTCTTTCTCCCCACGAGTCGCGTGAAAATTAAACTTACTCTTCCCAACTTATAATTAGCTGGAGCATGTAAGAAAAATGCCAAACTTCCACTGCACAGCTTACCTGCAATAAGAAAAATACCGAATTTCCTCCTTCGAACTTACCTGTAGCGAGAATTCTCCCCTCCCTACTGAATGCTAGAGAGTAGATAGTGTCAGTGTGTGAGCTTAGCTGAGCGACTAGATTGCCATGCTGGATGCTCCAGACAAGTACGAGCGAATCTGCACCAGCTGACGCCAGCATCTTGCCACACGGAGTAAAACACAGCGCCTACAACACACAAATCACGGTCAAGATGATTATTATTTAACCACGGCTAAACGTCTCGACAAAATTAAGGGATTAGGCTCGGAAGTGTCTTTCATTGGATCAGGAAATGTACATCACAATGTCGTGATTAAATGTGGTTTGAACATTAATTATTACATACACACACCTGTACACACCCACATACATATACACACATGTACACCCACATACATATACACACCTGTACAACCACATACATATACACACCTGTACAACCACCTACATACACACACCTGTACACCCACCTACATACACACACCTGTACACCCACATACATACACACACCTGTACAACCACCTACATATACACACCTGTACAACCACCTACATACACACACACACCTATACAACCACCTACATACACACACCTGTACAACCACCTACATACACACACCTGTACAACCACCTACATACACACACCTGTACACCCACC